CCTATGATTGAAAAATGTTAATGCATAGATTTAAATATTGGTCATCACTTTAGATGTCTTTCAAAGTAGATTGTCTCTTAAATATTTAGCTGAACAAACTTTGAACATGTTGTAGAGTTTGTGCTCAAGGTGAAGTTTCCTGGGGTGATGGATAGTTTATAATATGGATAACAAAAACTTCTTATTTTAAGAAATTTGGAAAATGTTTAGGCAAAACTAGAAAATATTACTGATAATTCTACCACTCAGAATGTACCACTATCAGAATTTTGTATCTTTCCAGTCCTTTGCTCATCTCTTTTCTCCTACGTTTGTATGTGTTTCCTCTCCCTTACAAAATCAGATTTGTTTTTGTAATCTGCTTTCTCACTCAACAATATTGTAGATCCGTGTCAGAAGTTACTCCTCTACAGTGCCTTCAGTTACTGTGTGCTTTGTGTTGGATGACTGTACCATCAAGTCAGTCATGTTTCTTGGTACTGAATATATAGCGGGGGGAGGGTGTGTGTGTGTGTTTGTGTGTGTATATGTGTGTTTTTCTGTCTTAACTAATGTTTTAGACATCAATAGGTAGAGCTAAATCCTTAAAACCTTCCAAGTGGTGGCTTTCAGTTCTCATTACTGAATTGCTTTCTAGAGATGGAACAAATTATATTGTATGGAAACTCTTTTTCTGAGATGAAGCCTTGCTCTTGTCATCCAGGCTGGAGTGCAATGGCGTGAACTTGGCTCACTGCAACCTCCATCTCCCAGGCTCGAGCAATTCTCCTGCCTCAGCCTCCCAAGTAGCTGGGATTACAGGCACCTGCCACCATTCCTGGCTAATTTTTGCATTTTTAGTAGAGAACGGATTTCACCATGTTTTCCAGGCAGGTCTCGAACTCCTGACCTCAGGTGATCTGCCCGCCTCGGCCTCCCGAAGTGCTGGGATTACAGGCATGAGCCACCATACCTGGACTTTTTTTCTTCTTGGTACCAGCTTTTATTTATCAGATTGGTAAAAATGTTAGAAAGTGTGCAATGAAATGGGCATTCTCACAGTCATGGCAGAAAGTATAATTATCTTTGACTTTCTAGAAAGTAGTTTGGCTTTCTAGAAACTTGCCTGAACTCTCCCTGTTTAGACAGGATGAATTCTGACTACCCCAAGGTGGCCAGCCTTGTCCCTGTGATTCCAGATCTCCCAGAAAGAGAGGTCTAGTCTCAGGGAAAACCCAGATTTGCTTGGCTTAGCTCACCTGACAGCTAATCACTGGAAATGGGGTGGGCTGGTAGAGTCCTTTGGTCAGGTTTTGTGTTGAGACAGAGGTGGGAAGATGGAATGGAGGTAGCAAAACTGGCCTCAATGGAACTAAGTAAGTTAACATAGAATGACAAAGGAATGTTTCTTCCAAGGAAGAAATTCTAGGGAAGCAAGGAAAGTGGAAGGGAAGGCAGCAGTTCTCAAAGTTTTGGGGTCAGGATTCCTTTATACTCTTAAAAATATATTGAGGGCCCAAGGAGCTTTGGTGTATGTGGGGTATATCAATTGGTATTTATCACTAGAAATTAAATCAGGAATATTTATTCTTTAAAAGCTCACCGTATGTTAAAAATGCTTTTATGAAAAAAATTTCTAAGCCCACAGCAGTATATTTTTTGAAAATTTCTTTGATGTTTGGTATGTCATTTGTGTCTGCATCAATTTGTTGTGTGATATTTGCTTGAAAAAATGTGAACAAAGGCCAATCTCATACAGCTAGCCATTTTAGATCATTGTGGATATTTCTTTTTTTTTCGAGATGGGGTCTTGCCCTGTCGCCCAGCCTGGAATGCAGTGGTGTGATCACGGCTCACTGCAGCCTCAGTCTCCGGGGACTCAGGTGATCCTCCCACCTCAGCCTCCAGAGTAGTTGGGACTACAGGTGTGTACCACTACACCTGGCTAATTTTTTGTAGAGACAGGGTTTTGCCATGTTGTCTTGGCTTCTTTTTTGATACTCTATCAAAACCTGTTTTTTCTTGAACTTTGGATCTTTTTTTACCCTGGCATGATATTATAACATCATGCACTGGTCATTTTGAAAATAATGGTTCACTGAGATCTTCTATATGTTGATACATTTGATTATACAGTATCAAAATACATTCATCAATATCACCATCAACCTCAGAATACTTTTGGAAAGCGATGGTGGATATAAGTTTTCTAAAATTCTAATTTTTTGGTCAAAACCTTGAATTTTATTATTACCAGTTTTATTTTTGAATTTTATTATGGCCTGTCTGTTGTTTTTCTTGAAATGACAGAATCTCATTTTTTGAGAAAATGTCTCCCAAAACCCAAGTTGAAATAACATTTTTTGTCAGTCATCCTTTGAAGTAAAAATGATATTCCATTAAAGTGGTTAATTCACTTCATGACTTAGTCACATGAGGGTTTTTTCTCAGGCAGTCTGTAGGAATGCTCATGTATACTTCCCGTTTCCTCACTTGAAATATTAAAAAGATATATTCAAGGATTAAGATGTAAAATTTTCACTGCTTCATCATAGACATTCTTTTTATTTTTGAGATAGGGCCTTGTTCTGTCACACAGGCTGAAGTACAGTAGCATGATCACAGCTCACTGTAGCCTCAACCTTCTAGGCTCAATCCTCCTGCCTCAGCTTTCCAATTAACTTGGACTACAGGCATACAACCACCATGTCCAGCTAATTTTTGTATTTTTTGTAGAGATGGGGTTTCGCCATGTTGGCCAGGCTGGTCTCAAACTCTTGACCTCAGGTGATATGACCGCCTTGGCCTTCCAAACTGCTGGAATTATAGGTGTGAGCCACCATGCCCAGCCCACCCTTCCTTTTTAAACCTTTCCCGTGCATAGGGAAGAATACCATGTCTACTAGTAGTTTGGTGTTACTGCCTTTGTTTGTGCTAAAGTACCAGCATTTTTACCCACCATTGTATTTACACACTTACAGCAAATGTCACCATGTTAGTATTCCTGTGAAAATAGTTTGGACCTGAGGGTTTGAGGGCCGCACTTTGGGAACCATTGAAATAGGTACTTAAATGTACTATGTATCATATCTTTTCATCTACAAAGTTTTTAAAAACTTGATTTCAGTTAATTTTTTTTTGTAATTTTAAAAATACGGTTTTGAGAGGTTTCAGTCCAGAGCAACAACACATATTTTATTTTGCTTATGTTGAAGTTTACTAGACAAATACTAACCTAATAGAAGCAGGTCCTAAATCTAGTTGCAGTTTCTTTAGCCAAAAAAAAAAAAAAAAAAAAAAAAAACCAAACTGAAAACGTAAAAATGGTCCATATGGTGTATTCTCAATGTATGCTGAAGAATTTGAAGAAGAAAATGCAATACTCAGTAACTGGTGTTCTTTAAGAATAGGATTAATTCTGAAGAGTTTCTTTTAGCCTATAAAGAGATTTGGGACACTGTAAGAGAGGAATGAAAAGAATGAGAATAGTAAAATAAACCATTATTGAAGAGATACACTGTTACTGATGTCCTTCAATACAACTTGTTTTTCTTTTTCTTTTTCTTTTTCTTTTTCTTTTTTTTTCTTTCTTTCTTTTTTTTTTTTAGACAGAGCCTTGCTGTGTCACCAGGCTGGAGTACAGTGGCATGATCTTAGCTAACTGCAACCTCCGCCTCCCAGGTTCAGGTGATACCCCTACCTCAGCCTCCTAAGTAGATGGGACTACAAGCACCCTCCACCATGCCTGGCTAACTGTTTTTATTTTATTAGAGACAGGGTTTCATCATGTTGGCCAGGATGGTCTCAATTTCCTGACCCCATGATCCACCCACCTCGGCCTTCCAAAGAGCCAGCATTACAGGCATGAGCCACCATGCCCAGCCAGCTTTAAAAAAATTTAAAAGAACCTTTGGTAAATATTTGGTTTCTGTGGCTTCAGCTGTATTTCAGATTACAGTTTTCAAAGCAGTGTTTCCTAAAGTTGTTTGTGTGAAATTGTTTTCCATGACTTGATCCTGGTTCTTCTGAAGCTAATATATAATAATGGATCCTCCTCAATTTGTAATAGAAAACAGTACAAAGTAACAGAGTAAATGTTAGTGGGTGAAAGCACATAATGCTTAGTCCATTCACTTTTTAAAAAATCACATGTAAATGTGTTCTGAAAATATATGTATAGTAATGGCTTTTCTTGGTATTACTTGGTTTGTGTGATAGAATAAAATGTTAGAATTTTATGGTGTTTGAATTAGTTGTCGATTGCTCTGTAACAAATTTAGCAGCTTAAAACAACAAACATTATCTCACAGTTTCTGTGGGTCAGGATTCTGTGCAGTTTACCTTGAGTTCACTGGTTTGGCCTCTTACTAGGCAGTGAAGGTGTTGGTGGCGGCAGTGATCATCATGAGGCAGGATAGGGAGAGAATCCTTCTCCAAGCTCACTCGTGTAGATGTTGGCAGGATTCATCTCAGGCTGTTGGACTGGGCCTCCGTTTCTAGATGGCCATTGGTTGGAGGCCTTTTACAATACCTTGCCATGTGGGCCTCTCCATAGGGCACCTCATCACATGGCAACTGGCTTCCATCAGAGGGAGCAATGGAAAGAGCAGGAGAAGGGTGACCAAAGCAGGCATCGTAGTCTCCTTGTAGCCTAATCTCAGAAGTGATGTTATTACTTTTGCTGTATTTGGTTTGTTAGAAGTGAGTCACTAGGTCCAGGAGTGGGAATTTTACAAGGGTGTGAATGGCAGGAGGTGAGGGTGATCAGGGCCATTTAGAGGCTGCCTGCCAGTGTTGAAGAAAATTGTTGACTTCTATGAGCTGTAGCAGCAGACAGTGCTATGTAAAGAATGGCTGTCTCAGAAGTCCAGTTCCTCACGTGGGTTTACGTGTGTTGCCTTTTTCCCACATGTGTTTTGTTTACATCCATGGTCATCTTGCCATTTAATGGTGTGGTTTAATTGCATATTTGGGTTAGTCTGTATGTAAATGTTTAACATAGGTGTCTCTGTGTTAAACAGGAATCCTATTCATCTTCTTCACCGATATGGTTTGTGGACTCTGATGAGCCAAATCTGATGTCAGTTCTAGAACGTCTAGAAGATACTAAGAACAACAATTTGGTGAGGAAAGAAGCCAAGCTATTTTCTCTTTTCCTCATGAACATGATATTTAGAAATTAAATGTTAAGTGATAATATTATATAAAAGCATGATTAGTAACTATAATCTTAGAGGAATTAAAGTCTGGGTATTTTAAGTCCTCCAAATCTTATGTGCTACCTGGTAAATAAGGTAGTATTTATTATTTCCCACATGTATAACCTTAGTTTAGATTAGGAATTCGGGAATTCTTTTACCCTGAATTCTAACCATTAAGCTAAGCAAGCATTTTGAGTAGAGACCACTAGCCAAGGTGGGAAGTAGAAAAAAGACCAAGGTAGAAGTGAAGGAAGAGATGGGGAAAATGACACCAGAACTAGTGGGAAGGAATTGTCTTTTCTTTCACAGGTCTGTAAGTCTGCAGTAAAAGTCAAAGGTATCCAAATAGAAAGTTTTATTTTTGTTTTTAGTATATAAAGAAGTATAACTTTCTATGTTGCAAAAATTTTACAAACTTTTTTTATTATAAAACTCGTAAGTAACCATTGTTGAGAAAATTAGTAAAATACAGAAAAGAAAAAAGAAAACAAATTAAAGTATCCCATAATTTCTCTACCTAATATAGCCACTGTTGACATGATGGCTATTTTCCACCAATATATATATATTTTTTGCTAGTAAAATACATAACCCTTATACATATGTTTAAATAGTTGAGATCATAATCTCTATAGTTTTATATTCTTTTAAAAAGCATTTATTGTATTTTCCCATGATGTCATAGTCTTTATAGAAAAATAACAATCATTGTTTTCAGTTGACATGATTGTTTACCTAAAAATATCCAAAGGAACCAACTGAGAAAAACAATTTTTAAGATTACTGGTTAAAAGCTCTGTT